TTCATCAAGGCATGTGACAGAAATGAAATTTTTGAAACATTTTGGAGTATTCAGGGATATATTATAGATGTTAAAAATTTTGAGAATTTTGATCAATTACAAATTAGGAAAATTATCAAAGCTATCGCAAGTATTAAAATTGGAAAGTTGTGAGCCTTTCAGAAAATTTTTAAATAGCACTACCATCTACTGCCTTTTTCGTCATAGAAAAAGGTTATCAGCAAAATTTTAAACGACCGAATAAGAAATTTTACTTCAATATTTTATTTTGTTCAAGTGGCTAATGCAATAATCGGAAACTGCGCAGGTCCTCCCGTGATGCTGGCGATTTTTTGCAAATTCTACGATTCCATCTCCTATCGGTTATTCATTAAGCAGAAAAATTTCCCAAATTTTCAACATTACCACCAAAGAACTATCCCAATCCAAAGATTTCAAGGACTACGGGAATTACGGACAGTTTACTATCATCCGGTTAGTTCCAAAGTGGCTAATTTATCTCTTTCTCTGTAGATAAAAAAGCAACGTCACGCGTTTATTTTCTCAATTGTGATTGTTATTGACAACAATAGTAGAATAATAATTATACTAATAATAGCATATCACAGTTTTTATTATTATTACTATCGTTATTCATCCTATTATCATTATTATTGCTATTACTGATTCATTCTGTTTGAATACTCGATTATGGTGTAAAATAACAGTAACGATCATAATACTAATAATACCAGTAATATTAATGACAATAACTGTATAGATCTGTAACAATAACGTGAAATAACAAGAATCCAGTTGTTTGAACATGAATGAATTGATGTCAATGAAACTTTTCCATCAAGCTGATTTTATTTGTTTATTTAACCTGCTTTGTCACTCCTCGCGAGTGGTATTCGCGCTAGGTCCTTCAGCTCTAAACTTCATTGTATTTACGTAAATATTTCTTTTTGTACAGAATGGAGACTGTTCTATGTTCTGAGAGATTTGTTACGTTGAACCTTGTTTAGACGGCATAAATACATGACCAGGGCCAGCGTTTTCATGGCAGGTACTCCAGCGCCATGTACCATCAAGTGCGACGTAACAATAACACCGAACTTTCATTTGTATATTCAAATAAAAAGACCCATTAAATGCTTACTAAAGAATGTACCTAATGTTATCTCAATGGATGATGATTATCAGTAAGTATTGCCTTATTAAATTACTCATTTCTATCGATAGTTCACTACTTCAGGTTATTACATGGTTTTATTATCTTCTACAGGCTGGCTGGAGTTATTACTATTTATGAAGATCGTTACATTACTTTTGGTCTTGTGAAAGACCAGTGGAGACTTTATGATAATCAACGTAAAGCTATCGTATATTCATCACAATCCGAACGGGTTGATCTCGTTGGTTTAGTTTACATTTTAAAGAATGCAATGCTTTGTTAAAAGCAATGCTTTGTTAAAAGCATTGCTACAAAAAGTGCCAAAGCTAGTGAAGTAATTGTATAAAAAAAACTGATTTTAAAGTCTAATATTACAAGTTGTTTTTTATAATTTTACAATTTAATTCACTTTACTTGCAATTTGTTGTTATCATTTTTTGTCAACTCAAAGGAACTAAAATGATATTAAATATTGCTGAATTACTAATACAATTTAATATATTAGTTGTCTTCATGTCGTACCTTTAATTTTTCATTATTTTTACCAAAACGGATTGAATTTATTTTAGTTTGCAACATATTGTATGTAATTCACCTAGTTAAGCTGATTCTGAATGAAAAGTTTCATCGAAAACTGAATTTCATTAATTTCTTCGTTCTGGTCTAAAGACTGCCTCCTTAACAACCATCGGCAAAATATTTATAATAAACTTGTTGTAACTAAATTTATAATAAACTTGTAAGTAGAAAAATATGTGTCTTACTGTGAACCAAAATGAGCAAATTATTCATTATTACATCAATTATTGATTGAACTAACAAGATTAGCAATTATTTTAACCTTCAGTTTTCAGACTAACATCGTTGCAATTATTTCATTGTTCAATATCCATTGTTAAAAATTGAATTAAAAACTATTTTTCTTTTGGAGACAATCGGATCGTTACCTACTAAATATAAAAAAATATTTAATAGTGTGAGATTGTCACAGGTACCAAAAATAACTTAGCACAAGCTCAGAGAATACTTGACACAAGTATTTTTAATACTTGAAATGAAATCGTATAAGGATTTATAAGTCTTCAGAACGACTTGTAAAAGTTCATAAGAATGTGTGCAGATCTAAAAGAGTTTACTAAATCTTTTAAGCGTTCATATGGGCTTATGAGCTCATCTAGGTCTATGCAGACCTTTACGAAACGTTATGAACAAAGTTGGGTAGCATAAATAACGACTTCAGGAATGAAGTATTTGGCTCCTCGACTTGATTTTCGGTCATCGTTCTAACCAAATTATTTTTTTTGCGAGCTTCATCAATTCCGATAAATGAACTTGCAGTTAAAGAGGCCTGATTAACCCATTCTGAAATAAACCCTTCATTACTGATTATTAAGTAGTTTAAGATATTGTTCATTTTGTGGAACTTTTTATTTATGAAAACATCCATCGAAGTGGCACTGTGTCAGCTGTTGCGATAGATTCACTACGGCGGTTCCTCCCCCTCCATCGCGATGTGACCCAATTACTCCAAAACGATTTTCATCAACTAATGTGGAATCAATCGATTGGGGTGGAGTAGAGATTATCTATTATTCACCTACAAACGATTCCGCATCATTTGATTAGGCACTTGAGTGCCTATCATTGAAATTACAAGAAGTTGGGGGCTCACTTCCAGTTAAAATTTTAATTATTTTAAAAAAATCATTAAAAATCAATTATTATCGATCAAACTCTAATTTTTAGCTATCATTGACCTGCAAACCACCTACAAACGATTCCGAGAATCCGAATAATTAATTTATCGAATTTCAAAAAATTGAGGCCTAACTTCCGGTGAAAATTCCAATTATGTAAAAAAAATCACTAAAAATAAATTATTATCGATCAAACGCTAATTTTCATCTATCATTAACCTACAAACCACCTGCAAGCGATTCACTTGGTCCAAATAATTAATTTACTTAATTACAAAAAGTTGGAGGCTAAATTCCGGTAAAAAATTTAATTATTAAAAAAAAATCATTAACAATCGATTATTATCGATCAAACGTTAATTTTCATCTATCATTGACCTGCAAACGATTCTTGATCGTTTGATCGGTCATTAAACATTCTAGGGTTAAATTTAACAAAAAAAGATGATAACTTCCGTAGAAATATTTCATTTTTTTGAAAAATTCATTGAAAAAAAACGATGATCGATCAAACAATAATTCTTATCTATCATAGACCTGCAAAGGACCTTCAAACGATTAGGCATGTGCGGAATAATTAATTAGAATAATAAGTTGATAACTTCTCGGAGCTCCCCTCATCGCCATTTCATTCCCACTCTGCAGCTGTTTGGCACTGGTGGGACTATTTAAAAAATGATAATTTAAAATAGCAGGAAAAAATGTAAAATATATTTTAAAAAATTTCAACTTCCTGGGTAAAAAAAATTGTAATAGGAATATTTTTTTCAAATTTTCGAAAAATTTCTGGAAAACTTTTCAGAAAATTGTTCTTTTGAAACAAAAAAAAATCGGGAAACAAAACAATTGTATTTTTGGGAAATATTTTGAAAAATTTTTCAAAAATTTGTTTCGGAAATTTTTTAAAGGAATTTTCAAGAAATTTTTGGGAATATTACTTTTTCCTTCTAATTATACTGTTACTTTTTCCATTTTTCAATAGTCTCAAAAAATACGGCATCTAAATTATGAGAAAAATTTTTCCAATTCAAATAAAAAAAAATTTTACAACAACCGATCTATCTCCATTGAACGCACCCCACAGCACCCCAAAATTGACATTTAAAAAAGTTTTGGAAAATTTTTTCAGAAAAATCCATTTTCTTTTCGGCGAAAAATGAAATTCTCTTTTTTTTTACGGATAGAGACGTGGGAATTTATACTATTGGGAAATTGCACCTTTTTTTTTTAGGTTAACTTGACAGAAAAAAAAGTCAAACGACTCGACTGGGATTCAAATGTAAACGCCAGAAATCGCTGAATAGTGGGGACGAAACGCGCATGAGAAGAAGGCTGAATGAAAATGATTAATTTGTTATTGAATAACTTAATTAGGGATGTACAAACGAAGAAAATATGTAATTTCTGATGTACTAACAATTTCCTATGGAATTGACTATTTATTTAACCCATTGAGCAATTTTTCATTTTATTCCAACCAACATCATGGCAAAAATTGAATAATTATTAATAATTAATGAGTGAAAGTACAAACAAAAAATTCTAGTACAATTATGTACTAGCGATATACAATCGAATACATAAGATAATTTTCCCAATTATTGCATGTTTTCGGCTAAGTACACGGGTGGACTTAGAAGAAATGTAATTTTTTAATTAACTTTTCATACTTTTTTCTTCGTAAATATTAGGTAGTAATTTGATGGAATTTAGGAGAACATAATTAGAATTTGGGAGTGATTAGTTTTTGTTTAATGGATTTTTCTTTTTTTACAATAATAATGAGCAGAAGTTATGATTGAAAATTCAAAAATTTCAAAAAGGTTTCATAATTTAGGAGTTAACGATTTTATTAATAAAAATTAAAAACGTACTTTTTTTACGTACACTATATAGTGACTTGCGCATGCGTAGTAGGCTTAAGGTAGGACGAATTGATTTCATAATTATATCATTATTTTTATTATTGTAAAAAAAGTAAAATCCATTAAACAAAAACTTATCACTCCCAAATTCTAATTATGTTCTCCTAAATTCCACCAAATTACCACCTAAATATTTACGAAGAAAAAAGTTTGAAAAATTAATTAACAAATTACATTTCTTCCAATTGCACAGTGCCACAATATACATAGTGAGTGACGGATGGTGCATGATACTTCCTTGAAAATCTAGATGGCATATGCTCGTCGAACTGGCCGGAATATAAGGATCTCACTGCGCGATTCCAGTTTGCTTCACCGCTAGCAGCTGTGCTTTACACTACACTGCCTGTTGCAGGCGCACTAAGCCTGCCTACGTGATTTTTCATTCATTCAGTCTCATTTTTGTTTTCCTAACATATGCTTCTGAGTAGTGACTTTGCAGTGATTTTTTTATAACAATTTAAGCAGAATGGCCAGCTGGTGGGTTCTTTATGGCTGCATAATAATTGTTTGTGGTTGCATTGAGGTTACTGTGCAAGAAAAAGACACCGGTAATGTTTTATATAGTTTTCAAGTATTTGGCGATTATCCAGTGGCTAATCTTCTACTCATGTTCTTCATACTTTTAATAAATCAATAAACAATCATTCTACTACCGAGCTGCATTCATATTTTGACAGATATTTTCGGCCGCTTTCTATCCTAGTGCTGAACAATTTTGTTTACGATTTGAATACAACGGAAAAAATGTTCAAAATCAAATGCAAATCTGCGATTTTTTATTTTAGTCAGTCGAGATTTAATTTAATGAAAAATCCTCCTGTTTCTTTTGTGCATAGTTTTATAAAATTTATACGTTTTTGTCCCATTCAACTTGTCGACTATGTTAGTTAATATATCGGAAAAAATCTGATATCCAAAATTGACATGAAAATTGCCCCATTTGTTTTGCTGCAAAACAAATAACTTAAACAAACAAGTACAAAACTTAAAAAATATATATTTCTGTCGTCGAAATGATGATTTTGAACAATTGTTCATTGATAGATTGATGAAATGACTGATTTTTACGTTTTTCCATTCTGATTATTTATTTTTATTTTTTAGAATTATTGTCATAATTTTTTTTTACTGAGTTATGATTCAATGATTTTTATAATCAATAGCATTTATTGGACCGTATAATCTGGAAAACTGTTCGTAGCCTATTTCTTTGGTTCTTCCTGCCTTGCTCTCGTTTTGCTTGGCAAGATAAATAATGGAGAAACCATTGTATTAAACACCCTAGCGTAGCGGCGCCGACGCCGACAATGGTGTTAAAGCGCAACACTTGAATTTGTAACGCGGAGAAAACTAATTTTTGTTGCCACCGAACATTTGCGGTGTGTTCTGCGGTTACTTAATAGAGAACATTTTTTCTAGTATTACAGCGGCTAACCATATCATTATACTATGACCACTCTATTCTCAATCCCCCCTTCAAATTTTTCATTGATCTATTGTCAACTAAGAAATTTGTTTGTGTTAGCCATAAGCGTCGGCAAAAATCTATAAATACAATATAATATCCGAATTCGGTTGGATTTTCTAGATTTGAAGGATAATCGGACGTGGTGAACAATTTAAAAAGAATACAGTCAATTTTTCCCGCGAAATCTTTAAACTATTAAAAAACAGTGTGTAAAATTTAAAACTTATGACTAATTTAAAACTGTTGAAAATATATCAAGGTAGAGGAAGAGTTGTAGTTAACTTCATGAAACCACGCACGCATATTGTATATTCAATTAATAATTTTTGCGCAAAACATCAAATCCATTGCGAATGTTGTTGCGCTGTACAGCATCTATTAGTGTGGATTTTCGTTGGAAATAGAAAAAAATTAGCGGATTAGTAGCTGGAAAATAACTCACTTCTATTTTATCCGCCCCGGTCATCCTTAACAGAAGCCGTTGGTGAATCCACGGCACAGACGAAAGTAACCGCTAAAATAAAAATGAACACGAGGGTCCTTCATGTTATACTTACTTATACGTACTTAAAACGTTGAGTTTATTTGAAATCTACATAAACGATAAAGAAAACATGCACATCTATCCAATGCTACTAAACGACTGAAAAATTCGACAACTGATGTTTTTTTAAAAAATTCTCCCAAGTTAACGTTTTGAATAATTATGTGTGACAAAAACAAATGAAAGCAAATAACGAGCCTAGTCGAACTATTTTCAATGGAAAAAAATTTGGCCAAAACGACCATTGGAAAGGTCATCTACGAATTACTAAAAATCTGAGAATGCACGGAGAGAAAATTACTGGACAAAGTACGTCATTAGTCACGTAAATGTGGGCCGAAAGAATTGTTCAGGACTTTTCAAGTGAAATCCTGAGAAAAATTGAGAAACGAGTCGGAAATTTTATTATTTGCTCTGGAACATTTACGGTACTGCCACCTGTTTTTTCCCGAACAAGTAGAACCCCGAAAAATTACATAAAAATTGCTCAATTCTTCATAGATTTAATGTGACAAAGTCAATTTTTTTACGAAACACAAAACATGAATATTTCGTAAACAGCGCGGCACAAAATCCTGAAGAGAACCTAATTTATGTCATAGGTGCCCGTAATCACGTGATTCTAAGCTCACTTCGCTCGCTAAAATCGCGGATTACGGGCCCAATGACATGAAATAGTATGCGAAAGACGTGCTTTATGCATTTGTTGCATAATATAGTATTACATGACTCTACTGAAAATTCTCCCACGCACTTGTGCCATGCCATTTCAGCTCACTTTAGCCGGTTCCTTTCAAGTCACTGAAACAGCCAAGTGGTTAATGCCTCGGCATACGAATGGTCGTAAGTTCGGTCCCCTCCGATACCAAATTTGAGGTTTTTTTAGTTTCGCGGATTCCCGTAAATATAGTGTGGGAGAGGGAGAGGTAGACGATGAATAAAAAATAGTCATTCACCCTCTCCCTTAATTATTATTGCCCAAAAAAAAGAAGAGAAAAGTTTCACAAGTCATGGGACTACGTATCGTAATTTTTGCACCTTGGAGGGTTACTTTTCACCGACCGAGTCGCAGAATCTTCTATTTGAAATTTTATTTCGACAAGTAATAGAACTGAATGACATATACAATACACAAACAATAGTATGTTACACAACAAGTGCGTAATAGATTCTTTGGCTCGGGAAAGAGTTGTAACACGAGCGGAAGGTAAGTTTTACAATCCCACGAGTCGAAAAATCCATAAGCACATGTTTCGTATACTATTTTATGCCAATGGCTCTCGCTTCGCTTGCTAGAATAGCGCGATTACGGGCATCTATGACATAGGTAATTTTCTGTCATAGGCTGCATGTCAAGTCGTGAGGTTTCAACCCTCATGATTTTTCATGTGTTTACAAATTTGTCTATTCATCCATTACATAAATATAACATTCCGTGTTTCTTTATTTCGATTTTTAATGAACCATTTTTGTCCCGCGCGTATTTTCAACTTTTTTTTTGAGATATAATTTACGACTTGCAATAATGAGTTACGCAGAAGTTTGTTAAGACAAAAATTGTCAGTTTTTAGGTGAAGAATCGAAGAAATATAGCAATTATTTGCGCACTTGATAGAACTTTAGTTCCCGGACTACTATTCGGGGGCGCTGATTGACTTTCAAATCGGCCTCACCAGGGGAATACGCGATAGTCTATCCAGTTATATAGAGATCAGTGCATGCTTCGCACTCGTGATTTTTTAACCTGGAAAACTTAACGCACTCATTGCTTTGCAACGCACCTATTGGTAAATATTGCGATAATTTCAATCCTCTCGTGGTATTATAAGCGAAAATACCGATGACTTTGTAACTGAATTTTCGAGAAATTGGTAAAAGGGTAGGCAACTCAGGCCGAACGCATAAATTTCGGTTTCATTCAGCGGTACGGCCGTATACATCGTTTTTTATTAGTCATCTTCTGTTTAGCTTGGCCATGGATTAGACGATCTTAGAGGATATTGTGCTAATTGTACGAAAGTTACTGTCCTCAGATAAGCATCACTCCTGGAGAGCTTTCTGGTGTGGAACTAGAGTTTCTGCTTTTCCTCGTACCAAATTAGTTAGGTAAGCTTTTGCCTTGTTATAAATGAGACAGATCTCTAAAAGCGTATGTATCCCGTATAGCGTATGATCGTGTAACTGATACAGTGTAAGTCGCCGAACTATTAAAAATGGGAGAAAAAAAGGCCGAACTGACTCTCTAGCCGATTTCTTGCTCCCATCTTGTTATCTTGTATTGTGACTAGTGTCTTTCTATGGGGAGAGCTAAAATTATGTTGTCGTAATTGTACATATGCTCTGATGTAACTTTCGGAGGGTCACGGAAAACCTCTTTCCGTTAGGCTGCCCTTTGAAACCAACAAACCCCACAACAAAAAAAAAAGCTCAGGCGCCAGGTCAATTATGTCGGAATGACGACCGATGAGAAACTCCTCCAAATTCAGCTTTCACTGCTCCAGTAGCTTGTTACTCCAGAACAATTTACATCTAATCTTGGCTGCATTTCTCAATGTTTTTACGTCAAATCACTCGGTATATTGATATACCATTCTGAAGGGCATTATTGCTCTCTCAAAATGTGATATGTTGACTACAATTTGGTTGAATTTTCATGAAGTTATTGGACATTGGTTCTCTTTTGAACGTCATGTCACCCTAAGATTTGGCTTTTTCATCAATTATTGGACCTTTAGACTTGACTGATGGGGCTTTATTACTATTCACCATTTTGAAAAGCTCAACGAGGTCTTTGCGAACCGTGCGATGTTTCTCATTCCATTCGTTTGGTCAATTGTTATGGGTGATTATGTGTCGAATTTCGGATGCCACAAATGGAACATTTCCCGTTCTTTTAGTAGTGTTCTCTGAATTGTTCTTTGGCTCAATGATCAGCTGACATCGTATACTGATTATGGAACTCATTGAATGGGCCTCGAATTCAGAAGTGAACGATCCAATTTCAAATATTTTTCGTAGAATCTTGAAAATTTTTGGCAAAAACAATTTTTTTCATGGTTTACTTAAAAAATCTACATCGGCAACATCCATCCCTTAGATTGCGATATATTGAATGATATTCAGTTGAATTTTCATGAAACTATTCAACTTCACTTTTAATTTGAATGTCATGTCAAACCTTGAAATTCGATCTTCTCATTTATTCACGGACCTTCCGACTTGACTAATGAGGCTTTATTATACACTATTTCGAAGAATTGAACGAGGTCTTTTACATGGAGTATCATGTTTCTCATTCCATCCACTTCATCAATTGTTATGTTATATTGTTATTGTTATAAATTCGCATTTTCTTAAGGGATTTAAAGTGAAATGAAGGCTTTTGGATAGATTACTAGCGGAGATCTCATATTAATTGCGAAGCTTAATAAATGAGCATGCAATTCAGAGGTAGAAGTAACACTTTTTTCACAGAATTATGAGAGTTTTAAGAAATGAATTAATTTTTCTGTTTTTTTTACTGCATTTTCTTTTAA